AATAATTGGAAAAGCTGCTTTGAATTCTGTTTCTTTGCATATACTTGTTAAGGTAATCTTGAATAATTTGAAATGTATAGTGTAGTACAAAAATGATCTACTATGGTACTAAGCACTATTACATGAATTTCTGAAATTGTAACTGTTTCTGAATTTATTTTGTAAGTTTTTTTCTTTTATTCTTTTAAAAAATTTTCTATTGAAACTGATGTTTAGACTTAGGAAAAAACCTTTCCTATTAAAATATTTAAGAAATTATCCTAATAGACCCTTTGCTATTAAAGTATAATTTTCTTTATAAGTGAATAATTTGTAAGTGAATTTGTAATAACTTATAAGTGAATAATTTCTTTATAAAGTGAATAATTTTCGTGGGCTTTGTTCCTTTTAAATAAGGATTTGCTGGGTGTATCTTTTTCCACCTTTTGACTCTGTGTGGCCTTAGACTTTGTCTCTTGGACACTACGTATAAACTGTACTTTAAAAACTCTAGTTGGATAGTCTCCATGATTTAATTGCAGATACAGTCGGCGCATATTTATTTTGACTATTGATTTACTTGGACTTGCTTTTAACATTTGTTCCATTTTTTATGCTTTTCCTTTTTTTTCCTTTTTACTATTGAATAATTATTTTATTTGTCTACCACATTTTTTCTTCTCCTAATTTAAAAACTATAAATTTTATTCCCATTATTTTCATAGTCACCCTTGCAATTTTACCAAACACATAGAATAAACAATGATTATTTTATATGTTAACATCTCTTTTTAGCAACACTTCAACCTCAGAGGAGTAGCTTTGTCACATTTTACCCAATTTAATTGTCTTTGCTGTTTAGCATTTTAGTCTGAAAAATCCTGCAAAGGGGCTGGGGATATAGGTCAGCTCTTGACAAGAGTGGGATCCTCAATTCAATTCCCAGTTCCAAAAACAGGAAAAAAAGAAAAGAAAAGAAAATCCCACAAAATAGTAGTTATTGTTTTGACTTTACAGAGACTGTTGGATTTTCTAATATTGACTTATATACTTTTTGTTCGTACATCTTATCCTTCCTGTATATTTTTTTTCTCCCTAAAGGCAGGCATCCCTGCCCCAGCATAGCATATGCATTCCAGAAAGTATTGTTCCTGAAAATAATAGGCCTGTAGAAAAGAATAGTCTGTGTAGCTCTATAACCAGAGCAATAACCACAATACAAGGACAGTCCTAATAAAAAAGTAAATCTCATGGTATTTGTGGAAATCCTGGTCCTTTGCTGCCTCAAACCCTGCTGTGGGGCTTAACTTGTGCTGTCCCAAGATATTCTGGGCCTGCAGGGCCTGTTACTCCAGGGAGACTGGCTGCCTACTGTGCCAGGGAAGAGCTTGCTGTCTGCACCTTGTCCTGGAGTCTCACTCCTCAACACAGATGCATCCTCCTTACACCATCCCAGTGAGAGTGTTGCTCTCTGCCTGGATTCTGTTTCCAGGCATAACAAATGGGAAACATGGGAAAATGGTCTCAGGTTAAATCTGTGTAAATGTGCCAGCTCCCCTTGCCTGGGACAATTGCCCTTTGGGTTCTGCCCATGTTAACAACAGGGAGCTGGCACGTAGCCTTGTGTTTTCCTCAGCGGTTATGGTGACTGTCAGTGGGTGGATTGGTCCACCTAAGCTGTTCCCTCATGGGCTGCAGCTGGGCTGGGACTTTCATTGCCATTCGCTTTTTTAAGTTACATTTTAAAACTTTCTATGTATTTTATATTTCCCGTCCAAAGGTTTCTGTATTTGAAGTCATTGGGAGGTATAAATTGCTCACTGTTTCTGCTCTTTTTCAATATGGTTACATTGCTTTCTTGTGTATCTTGCATTTTTCACTTGGAGTTCACATGTGACCTTCTACTCCTTATCTTTCCTTTCTCAGTGGGGCTTTATGAAGTAAGTGAACCCTGCAGAACATGGATTGGTACCTTTTCAGTTCTCTGAGGGTGGTGCCTATGTGTGGGGAGATGTTTTTCGGTCATGGATGGCTTGGGAAGATGTTTTTCTATCATGGATGGCTTGGGAAAGCCACTCTTTTTTTTTTTTCCTTTGTCTCTTTGAGACAGGGTCTCTTTATGCAGTTCAGGCTGGCCTTGAGCTCACTTTGTAGCCTAGGCTGGTCTTGAACTTGTGGCGGTCCTTCTGCCTTAGCCTCCTGAGTGCTGGGATTACAGGTGTGAACCACTACGCCCGGCAAGGGAAAGCCAATCTTAAATTCTCTCCAGTTCTCCTAATCTGGGGATTCTGTGGGCCAAGTGTGAGACATTTTTGTCCAGAGGATTCACATGTTCTTTTTCCAGAAGCCCATGGGAGCACAGGCTAAGCCACGACAGCTCTTTCTTGGGTGGTTCCTCGCCTGGCTCAGGGCTCCTGTGCCGGTGCTTCTGCTTGCTTTTCCCAAGGCTGTTCCTCAATCCAGCCTCAATGTGTCCACCTAGCAGTGGGCAAGCACCTGTTGGTGTGCTGACCCATGGAATAACTCCTGGACCATGGCCACAGGGCCATCTGTCCTCAGGCCCCCTTCCTTCCCCTGCCGTGAGCCATCTTGCTTGTCTCCTATATTGGTGATTGGATTTTTGCTATTATCAGATCTTTTTTCTTTCATTTTTATTTATTTATATATTTTTTGATACTGGGGATCGAATTCGTGACCTCACACTTGTCAGGCAGGCACTTATACCACTGAGCTAAATCCTCGACCCTTCTTTTTTCTTTTAAATAGCCTGCTTTAAAATAGTGAATTCACTTAGTCTGTGGCACTTCTCATCTTGACATGTCTTCTTTCTTCTTGTTATGCTTTGATTTAACAGTTTTTGTGAGATTTTGTTATATGGTGACTGTCAGCGGGAGGATGTAGTCCGTCTGTTCAGGAGGGCTGGTTCTATCCAGCCATGGGCCTCTGAGCAGCAGAATTCTTCACTGAGTGTGGGTTGCTTCTTCCAAGTTGATATACTCTTGGGTTGGTTTTATTGTTATTGGAGAGGAGTCTGAGAAGGTACAGTTTTAAAATAATAAATATTTATTACTGTACAATGGGCTCATTGTAGAAATGTTTTTTAAAAGTTAAAACTTAGTGAAAAAATCCTAATTGCTGTCAGAAACCTACTGTAGGCCCTCACACTGCAGCGTGGTGTGGCTTCTTGCTGTAGGCTCATTTACACTGGGCTGTGTTCCTTCTTTTCTAACTGCAATGCCATTCACCTTTTCATGTGTGCTTTAAACTCTTTTAGGTGTTTTTGCTATCACTGTATGGTGCTTCATGTAAATACTGAATATTTTACTTAGTTGGTCTATAATAGCATGTTTTTAGTTTTTAACAGTAACATAATTTTTATAAGTTGGATGTGGTGGCACACACTTGTAAAAATCCAGCAATCTTTGAGGCTGACACAGGAGAATTACATGTTTCAGCCCAGCCTGGGCAAGTTAGTGAGACCCTATCTCAAAAAAAAAGTGTAGTTTTTAAAGGGCTTGGAGGTGTAGCTCAATGCAGAGTCTGCAGGTTCAATTCCCAGTACAGGGGGAGAGGGAGCTTAAAGCAAAGACTTTGTGTCTACTGATTTTCGTATACATACTTGATTTACTTCAGAGATTCTGTTTTATGAATAGAATTTTGTAGGTTTCAAAAAAGTTTTGCCTATAACTTTCTCAGATAGATTTTATATTTTCAGCACGGAGATTTGATAGTACTGTACTTGTTTCAAAAGAAGTTGCTTCAGAGTGCTTGTAGGCAGGCTGTCTTCACTTCGGAGCTGACGGCTGTGTGCGATTGCTGTAGCTGTTTCCTGTGTTCTCATATTCAGCTCAGGCTTCCCAGCCCAGCTGTTGTTTGCAGGCCTCAGGAGTGGTCACTGGTGGGGTGAGGGGTGGGAGTTGGAGACTCGGTCTTCACAGTAAGTTTTGGGGCTAAGCATCTTCATTTGTGTTGCTCTTCCTTTAAATTTGAATTTTTATTAGTACATGTTTTCAATACATAATAATTGTGTGTAGTGGGGATTTGATGCATGCAGACACCACATCTTGGTCATGTTTCCCCCGCCCCGTCCTCCTTTCCCAGGGCCCCTGGTGTCTCCCTCCTTGTTTCCTAACATAGTCTTTGTAGTGTTCTTTAAATTGTTTTTAGATTATATTTTGGGTCTCTCACATTAGGTACCATGTGATATTTAACCTTTTGTGACTTATTTGTGTTATTTAACATCCTCTTTGCTTTTATCTTCTTTAAAGAAGTTAAAATGAGAGGGCAATAGGAGGTAAATGAGGTTGCTACACTGTCTTCCTTGGTGCCCTCAGGTGTCAGGAACTCTGTCATCCTTGAGAACTGAAATGCATATTAGCATAGTTAAAAACTAAGACATAAGAGGATTCTACAATTTACCTAAAAAGGAAAAAAGCTCAGAGCTATTTTGACCCAGGAAATTTGGTTTTCAGGAGCAAAGCAGTGAGTACAGGGATGAGAAAACACAGGAGCAACCAGGAGGAGTAGTGAAAACTGGAAGCGCCAGCCGCAGGGCAAGGGCAGCAGGCAGGGGCTGGGGGCCTCCCTGGGTCCGGCAGGAGGGCCTCTGGGCCATGGCAGGCTAGACAGAGGGCTCAGGAGCACCTGTGTTTCTGTGAGCCCCGTCAGCTCCTGCTCTGCCTTCCTGCTGGTCCAAGGCCACGGGGTGCAGGGAAGGACCCCTCAGGCTCTGATGTGCTCAGCACTCACGGAGGCACAGCATCCACACTGAGGGTGTTGTGCCCAGCCAGTGCCTCTTCCCTGTCTACCCAACAGTGTGGGAGGTGAGGAAGTGCCCGTAGGGTGTCTGTGGCAGGTGGCACTCTGTCTCTGTGCTGGCTGCTTCAGTTGTGTTTTGCCTGGATGAAATTGTGTTCTTAGCCACACACTTTTCCTTGGGTGGCCAGCCTCACTTGTGTGTGGCACTTACTTGGGCTTTATGGGTGCTACACTCCTAACTTGGAGGCCATGTGTCCTTGTAGGTGGTAACGTGGACCTGGAAAGCCAAGCAGAGGGGAAGAAGGAAGTGGAAGCTGATGATGTGCTGAGGAGTGGCCCCCGGCCCATTGTCCCGTACAGCTCCATGTTCTGTCTAAGCCCCACTAACCTGTGAGTCTCCACACCCACCCTCGCTTCTGCTTGCCCTGTCTCTTCACTTGCTGGACCCACATGAACATCACAGCCAGCACACATGGATATTCAGCCTGCAGGGATGGACTCTACACACTGTGTTCACCAAACTTCTCTGACCACCCAGCAGACACTTCCCATCACCTCCTCCTTAGGACATGGACACAACGGTATAGGGAGTTGTCTGTGGGGGATTTGGGCTCAGAACCACACACTCTCCAGAGCCTGTGCCCCTCCAGAACTCCATTACACACAGGGCCCATTTGTCCCTGTCATACTTAAGTCCTTCCTCCAGCTACCTCTCTGTCACACTGTTGTCCGTGTGTGCATGTGTGCATATTGCATGGTCACAGGTCAGTCTTGGGTTCTCTCTTTTTGTCACAGTTTGTCATCCACTCATCACTCCAGTGCTTTCATGAATCCATTTGACATGTATGTGCAAACAGCATTCTAGGTGCTGGTAATATACAGTGGTGACCAGGACAGGCAAGAAGACATGTCCTGCAAAGCCTGTGGGAGGGCGAGCTAGTGATATAGAAAAAGAAGCAAGGCAATTTAAGACACATAAAATGTCAGCAGTGAGTGCTAGGAAGAAACAGTGAGTGGAAGTGGATATGCGGGCTGTTGAGGGCTAACGTGAGACAGGTCAGAAAGGCAGTAGAGCCACGCCTTGGAGAGGGGCTGGAGAGCACTCTGGGGAGAAGTGCTAGAAAAATGAGGCCACAGGGGCTGGAGGTTTAGCTCAGCGGCATAAGCACCTGCCTTGCAAGCAGGCGGTCGTGAGTTCAATCCTCAGTACCGATAAAAAAATGAAAAAGACCAAAAAAAAAAAAAAACCAAAAAAACAAAAAAAAAGAAAAATGAGGCCACAGGTAACACCTGAGGGAGGAGGAGAGAGGGTCAGGGGATAGCGAGAGACCCTTGCTGATCTATCCTCCCCTCTTGCCTTCCATCCTGCTCCTTCCCTTCTTGCATTCATCCACATACACTTATTGGCAGCTAATCCTGCTATGCCAGGGAGTTGGAGTAAAATGGTACAGACTGAGTGTGCTGGGGAAGTGAAGGGATAACCATCAGGTATGGATAGCGCCAAGGAGAAATGAGCATTCCTTATAGAACAGTGCTGAGCTGGAAAGCCAGAGAAAAGCAGCCACTAGGTGTCCTGTGGAGGACCTCAGTGGTCACTGAGGAGAATGGAGGAGCATGGGAGGGATGCACAGTGAGAGCCCACTGACTGGGAGAGAGGAGCCCACTCTGTAGGTGGTCAAGAAAGAGATGTGCAGATTAACCTGGTAGTCCTTGCAGAGAGGTTGATGTAGAGGTGAGGAGCAGAAGCAGGAGAAGCTGGTGGCAGGCAGGAGAGATGAACTGGCCCTCCGCTGGTCCATGGCTGCTGCTTCTTGCCCACCATTTTGAGACTGGCTTTGCTGACCTGGCCACCGTCTGTTGCCATGTGGTAGCATTTGTCAGCTCTGTATTTTGACACTGCTCACTGGTGTTCTGTCTGCTGGTGTGGAGCTCTCTGAGGCTAGGCACTTGTCTATTCTGGGCACTGCTGTGCCCTCAGTGTCCAGCAGATGCCCAGAGTGTTGAACAAACCAGTGAATGTCAGCAGGTGACTGAGCAGAAGGTGAGCGTGTGGCAGTGTGTTCTCACTCAGCCTGGGAACATGTGCCCAGTGCAGGCACCAGACACTATTCTGAGGGTGAGGGTGGCCTGCCCTTCTGCAAGGGCTGGTGCTTCCTCCTCTCTGATCCAACCCTCCACCTGCTGCAGCACACCTGCTCTGTATTGAGCCAGATGGGCAGTGGTATCACCTGGGGCCATGTACAGTAGGTAAAGGGTGGCTGCAGTTATCCTTCATTCACAGAAGGGCAGCCTGAGAGCTGTCATTTGCTGACCCTGACTTTAGGGTACCACCTCAAGAACCTGTCATAACCAGTCACTTGGCCACTGTCTGCTGACCTCAGGGACACTTGGCACAGCCCTCTATCATGCCATACTGAGAATCCTTTCTCTAGGAGAGGGTGGCATGTGTTCCAGCTCGTGGGCCCAGTGGCAACACTGTGTTGTCCTCACAGGCTCCGTCGCTTCTGCCATTACATTGTCACCATGCGATACTTCGAGATGGTCATCCTTGTGGTCATTGCCCTGAGCAGCATTGCCTTGGCTGCTGAGGACCCTGTGCGGACGGACTCATCGAGGAACAATGTGAGTGGCTCTGAGGGCTGAGCCTGCCACCACGCTATAGGGCTGCATGGGGCACATTCCCAGGGCTTCAGGGCTGGCATGTTACCTTGGGCTCCTGTATCCTCACCTGAAACCCCACTTACCTATCTGTGTCCTCCCTCCAGGGGTGTGGGTGAGAGTCAGGGTTGCCACTGGAGGGGCCTGGTCCCCAAGGGACACCTGTGTTAGCATGCCCTCAGATAGCTGATGGTCATCTGTGCAGAGGTCTAGGGGAAATCTGGAGCCCCAGAATGGTTCTGGCTCTGCTTCTGGCCCAGCTGTGGAGAGTAACCCTCCGTTTGGTTCCAGGCTCTGAAGTACATGGATTACATCTTCACAGGTGTCTTCACTTTTGAGATGGTGATAAAGGTGAGCCATGTCCCCAAGGACTGTGCAGGATTTGGGGGAGTGGACAGATGGGACTGTGCACAGTGGTGCTGTGGGTCTGCTGTGTGTCATGATGTATTTTGAGATGTATCACTGAGGGACCTCTGGCTGTATACTGCCCTTTGGGCACTCCCAGTGGGACCTGGTCTTACTGCTTGGCTCATGGGCATGTGTGGGCTCACCAACTCTCCAGGGTCCCCTAGTGCACCTAGAGGAGGGCCTCTGTGACCTTGCTGAGAGGCAAGGAGACCTAGTAGTGTGAGGTGGCTGGAGGGTTGTGGGGAGTGCAGACCACAAGCCAAATTTCAGTGGATTGTGTTTGGTGACACTTTGAGTCTACCATGCCACTGCAGCCTTCATTTTCCCTCACACAGTGACCTTTATCCACATCTGATGGGGTAGCTCTTGTGTGTGCTTGCATAAGTGTGCATTCCCTGCAGGTGGACATGCACATGTATATGTACCTTCAGAACTTCAGTGCAGTTTGAGGTGTAAGGTCCCTGTGTGTGTGCACGCACAGGTTTGATTTTTATGTATGGGCCCTTGGAAGGGGTGTATGAACATATTACCCTACTGTTTCCTATACAGTAAAATCTGCTGGAGAGTGACTGTCATTTCACAGATGAGACAGCTGAGGCACTTGCAAAAACATACTGTAAACCTACCATGGTTACATTCCTCTAATCCCTGCACTCTGAGAGACTGAAAAGGAAAATCTCAAGTTCCAGCCCAGCCTGGACAACTTAGTAATTAAGTAATTAATGAAACCCTGTCTCAGAATAAAAATAAAAAAGGGTCGGGGATGTAGCTCAGTGCAAAAGCCCTGGGTTCAATCCCCAGTATCAGGAAGAAAAAAAAAAAAAAAGAGGGAAAGAAAGCACAGTACTAGGAGTGACAGAGCCAGGATATGGGTAGAGATCTGTGAAATTCCAACCAGTTGTTCTTCCCATTGACCTGAGCTAACCCTCGGGTCTGGGCACAGTATGAGGTCCCTAAGGTCCAGTGTGTGCCTATTGCTCAGTGATGGAGAGGCAGATGGAGACAGAGACTTCACTGTCTTATTAGGGCTCCCGGGAGGTTGAGAATGTGGGAAGACTGTCGGAGTATTTGGATCAGAGGCCCCAGTAAGGCTGTTAGAGGGTATAGCCTGTCAGGGTGTGGGGAGGATTTTCAGAGCTGCACTGCTGCCCCAGATGTGCAGTGTACTCTGTGGCTGGGCTGACTCTGCCTCCCTCTCCTGGTATAGAAAGTACTGTACAGTGTGCTTTTCCCCTGCAGATGATTGATTTGGGGCTGCTGCTCCACCCTGGAGCCTATTTCCGGGACCTGTGGAACATTCTGGATTTCATTGTGGTCAGTGGAGCCCTAGTGGCTTTTGCCTTCTCGTAAGTAACCACATTTGCTTCAGAGCTGTGGTGGGGCTGGGTGGTTTGGAGGGGCAGGTCCCTGTCAGCCTCACTGGGTATTCTTTAGCTGTCCATGTGGCTCCTCCTCACCTGCCTGGGCTTGGCTGTGGGAGGTGATCGGGACCAAGTCCTGCCTATGCCCAACTCAGCCTGGGGTTTAGGACTAGGTAGGCTTTTTTCTTTTGTCTTTTGGGACCTGTGGGAGCAAGTTTACCTCTTTGGAGGCCAAGTACCAGGCTGAAGTTTTCTACTCTAGCCATAGCTGATGTATATCTTTCACTATAGGGGTATGGTTCCCTCTGATCCTGAGGTGCTTAGCCTGGCAGTGGCTGAGTCTGGGGGCTGTGTGGAGGGCGTGGCGCTCAGCTGGACCAGGAGTGGGGAGATGCAGGGGAAGCAATGAGTGAGACTGAGAGACTACGCCGACTCTAGTGGAGGCCAGATGCTGAGGGAAGGGTCTTCATCTTCCCTATCCCCACTCTGCCCTCCCACAACACTGACTCTGTTCTTTCTGTTTTCCTGTTGCTGGACTCTCGGTAGGAGCTTCATGGGGTAATGCATTCCCTCACTCCCACTGCCCGCAACATCACAGCACGCCCATGGTTCCATCACATTGTGCTTATCTACCTTCACCCACCTGGGCTGCATGCTGCCAGGAGCCATCCCCAGGCATCATTCCAGCCATTCCTGTGGGGCTGGGTGGGGGCTGGGGCAGGCTGGGGAGTTTGGCTGTGGTGAGGTTTCCATGAATCGGGTTGTCCTGAGAGTGAGCACGGGAGGCTGAGACCTTGGCTCATAGGACAAGGAGGGATCTGGGTGGGAGCATCTGACATGGCCATCTCCCAGGATCTTGGTCACCTTAAAGTGCTTTCCCATGCAGGTTGTCTCTGGAAATGCTGAAGCTTCCTTTCCTTCTTTTCCACACCGGTCCTTGTGACTCCTTGTGTCTCAAGGTGTCTTAAAAGCCTTCTTCTAATGATAGGAGGCAAGAACTTGGCTAGTGTCAGCAAGGGACCCATAAAATGTCAGGGTTTCAGTTAGGAGCAGGATTCAGTCCTGTGGCCTAAGCACAAGAGAAGGAAGCAGGCTTCAATCCCACAGTCTCCCCAAAGACTTGCCTCTTTCATCCTCGTGCACTGGGCCACTATGCAGTTTGGAGCAGTCCCCTGTGCCCTCTTCTAGAACACAGAGGAAGCAGGGTGGAAGGCATGGGGCTACTGCTTGGAGAGTGACAGTGGTGCCGGGTGATGGCAGTATCTGAGCCTGGTGTCTCAGGGGCAGCTTGATGTGGTTTGCAGTGGAGGGTGGAGGGAGGAGTGAGGGCTGAGCTCCCCTTTTCCTGAGAGAAAGGCCTGGAATGGGCAGTTCCTGTCACTCAGCACAGAGCTTTGCTGGTGCCTGAGGGAGTTGCTGGGGCAGGGCCATCATTCCACACAAACCAGGCTGGGTGTTTTGAGGAGTGGCCTCTGAGCAGCCTGGGCAGGGTCAGTACGTAGGGTGCTGCCCAGGCCTGAGTGCTCACTGTGGGGGTGAGCAGGGCTTGCTCAGTGGGGAGCTTCCTCCATAGCAGACCTGGCCCAGACAGACAATTCCTGGGTCTACTCATGCTATTGTGAGGGTCGCTGATCTGGGTCCTCTATTTCTGGGCTTCTGAGCCTAGTTCTGGTTCCTGAAATGTCTTTCTCCTGATTGCCTCTGTTGGTGTTTGCTCTTGTGTCTAAATGTGTCTAATTTTCTCTTTTCCTTACTCTGTTTCCTTGAACGTTTTTCCTTTTGGGCAGTTTCACATCACCCGGAGGAGGGCTCCTAAGGACAGGCAGATGGATTGTAGAGCAAGGCCAGACAAGCCTGTCCATGAGAAGTAGGGAAACACACTTCCTCTAACATCTGGAGCAGGCTCCAGCACTACAGGGCTTGCTCACAAACCTCTGGGCTCCAGGCACATGCTGGGGCTCTCAGTGTTCTTTGTTGCTGGAAGCTGCGTTGGACTAGGTGTCAGGGAGCCAAAGGCAGAAGGAAGTAGCTGCTGTGGGTCTGAGGGAATGGGCTCTTCCCACCCACTGAGCTGTCCCTGTGCACCATGCCTGCTGAACTGGTCTTGCCACCTGGCCCTTGTCCTCAGAAGTAAGGCCAAGTTCAGGTAGCCATGGAGAAATCTGAGCTGGGTCCTCTCTCCTGGAGTTTAGACAAAATCCACAGGGGCGTGTGAACCATATTTTGGGCTGGAAAGGAGCTAGGTACACCCTCATACCTTTCCTGTCTGCATCTGAGGCTTCTCTCTTCTAGAGGATCCAAAGGGAAAGACATCAACACCATCAAGTCCCTGAGAGTCCTGCGTGTCCTGAGGCCCCTGAAGACCATCAAACGGCTGCCTAAGTTAAAGGTAGGAGCCGGAGCTGTCCATGTGGTGCATGCGTGTATGTAAGCCTGTGTGGACATGTGCATGCTTATGTATGTGTGTTTACATATGTCTTCACCTACATGAGGAGTATGGGCTCGCTCAGCCCTGCACCCCTCAAGGAGAGCTTATTCTTAGCAGTCTCCTGTAGCCCCCATGAGGCCTGATGTTTTCTTTAGTGCTGCAGGACAAGGAAGGGCCTGCTGGAGGGATGAGATATAGGGAGGAAGTTGCTGACAGGGACCCCAGAAAGAGGCTGCTGGGCTGGGCTCTGGAGGTGAGCACAGCTGAAGTTCTGGGTGAAGGAAGAGTATAAACCCAGTCTTTATATTACTGAGCCTATGCTGTCTATCTTTTAACTCTTTCAGTCCTCCAGAACTTTGTGTTGTGGGCTCTCATTAACAGCTGGGCACAGAAGCCTCAGAGACACTGGGCCAAGTAGCAACCACAGTGATACTTGGTTATTGAACAGCTCCAAGCTTGAACTTTGAAAAAAAATCTGCTTGGTGTTTGCCATTTGCTTGATAGTTGAATCAAAAAATCTGACTTGAAAACACATATACGGGCTAAGAGTGAGTCATACTGTGTCTCACTGGAGACACAAAGAGGTGATGCCTCAGTCTGAACATCCCTGTTGCCCATACAGCACATGGTGCTTACGTTAGTGCATTAAAACCTCACAACTAAGGTATCACTGTACAGGAATAGAATTTGTTTAGAACTTGCATCTTGAAGGGTAGGTGGGAGGTGACCTGAGAAGGTGTCAGAGCCCCCAGGCCAGGCAAAATTTAGAGAAAGGGGCGGGTACCTGCCAGCCAGAGTCTGTGGAGATGTGGGTCGGAAGGAAGGGTCCGGGAGGAGAAGAACCTAAGAAAAATCCAGCAAGTGATGGTCACAGACAAGAGATGACTTAGCGCCCTAGAACATGCCGAGTCCTATTCTGTGGTCTTCTCTCTGGGCCACAACCTTGCTGCTTTGTCTTCAGCCTGGCCATCCCTACTGCTGAGGAGCAGGAGCAGGGCAAGGACAGGATGAGAGCGACCACATCTCTTGACAGGCTTGGCCCCTCCCCTGGCTTCTTTCTGTGGCCCGACTTCAGTTCTCCTGAGCATCCAGCCTCTTCTAGCACCTCCTGCTAATGCTATCAAGGGCAGGATGACCTCTTCATGAGAGAAAGATAGCCCGCATTTAACCCCGTGAAGGTGTTGGCAGTAGTGGGTTCCATGTTCCAGGGCCTCCAGTGCCCCAAGACGTCTGGGTCCCAGTGGTCCTGAGTTTCCCAGCTTATGGCTGCCTGCCCACTATTTCTGTTGGTCTGACCCACACCTGCTGGGCTTTGTCTCAGGGCCTCTACCATGCCCTCTAGGTAGCACTCATCCCCTCCGCCTTGTTACCCTACCCCATTTAGGGCACACTCTTCCCTCAAGACCCCTCCTTCCTTATGCCCTGCCCTTGCCTCATACAGCTCTGGTCTCCTGCCTGCAGGCTGTGTTTGACTGTGTGGTGAACTCTCTGAAGAATGTCCTGAACATCCTGATTGTTTACATGCTCTTCATGTTCATATTTGCCGTCATTGCAGTACAGCTCTTCAAAGGGAAGTTTTTCTACTGCACTGATGAATCTAAGGAACTGGAGAGGGATTGCAGGTAAACTGAGGCAGGGTGGGGTGCACTCAGTGCCAGGATGGAACTCCTAGTGTTCCTCAGGACCAAGTAGAACTGGTCACATGGCTTGGGAAACTGCGAAGTAGGGACACATAGGAGGGCCACTTGGGTAATGCTGGTAATGAAGAGGAGTCTCCAGCCTCACCTGGGTCCCCAGTATGTCTTCCTCCACATGGTCAGGGACCAACTCTGCTTTGAGGGGCTCCCTCAGCCTTGCCTGCAGACATCCAAGGATCTCACTGTAGCCAGCAGGGTATTGTGGCCCAAGGTTATCTCTAGCCAAATTCTAGCTAGAGATTTAACGTGGGCTACAGGATTGGAGGAATTTACCCAGTGACAGCTGGGGATGCTTTCACTGTCTGTGGGTTGCCTCAGATCTTCCTAGGCCCTTCCTACCCTCAGGAGAGACTAGAGTTGTCCCGTGGGAAGAAGCTGGCAAAATAAGCATCCTACCCAAGGCCAATCAAGCAGTTTCTCCTACCTCCACAGCACAGGTCTTTGTTGTCTCTGGCTATGTGAATATTACATAGGTTTTTGATCCACTCTGTAATAGGTAGATATGTGGGTGGTTCCCATGGTGGGGTTGTCCTGACCATTGTTACTGTGAGAATCCCACACGAGTAGCTGTCAGAGGAACATGTGTGGACATCTGGGAGGTCAGTCTAGGAGAAGTCCTGGGCTGTGTCTGTGTTTGCTGACGTTGCCAAACACTTGAGTGAAGTAATACCTCTCCAGCTTGGATAAGAGTTCTTTATTTTTTCTTGATGTCTCTTATTTGCCCATCAGCTTTTTTGGATATGGTTGTTTGACTTACACTTGTGAGATGACTAGTAAGGCTGTACCTCTTTTCCTGATGAATTAGCTTCTCAGATGCCCTTTCCTTGGAGGTGTCCATTCCAAATATTACCCATTTTCCTGTGTGGGTTGTTTGCCTCTACAGGATTTTACCTACATGAACTCCTACATGTAAAAACTTCCACGTAAATTTAGGATTGTGAATGTCGTTTCTTTCTTTATGGGGTGCTTTCTACTGTTTCAGTGGGATCTTTAAAGAACAGAATGTAAAGAACAGTGGTGTCTTTTAAAGAGCGAGATTTCAGCATAGTCCCACTCGCATTTTACAGTGGTACCTTGATTCATGAACTTAATTCATTCCAGAATTCTGGAAAAGAGGGCCAAGTTTGTGTTCATGCAGAAAAGATGGCCATGGTCATGTTTGTCACCCAATGCAGAGTTTGTAAACAAAAAAATTTTGTCAAATGCTTGTGACAACATTGTTCACAAACAAAAACATTTGTGAACCAGAGTATATTCTTCTGTCTGCTACTGTCTGTTCTACTTAAGAAATCTGTCCCAAGGTTAGGGCTGTTTTCTTTTGAAGTGCTGTTTCTGCCTCTCCTCTTAAGATCTAGTCTATTGAAGCCAATTTTATGTTGTATAAGCTATGGTAGAGATAAGTTTTCTGAAGATGTTCAGGTACCTAGCACAAGTTATTGGACAAAGTAATTCTGTCTTCACTGCAGTGGTATCGTGTGATGTTTTTAACAGTTTTATTGAGATATAATTCACATACTATACAACTTACTCATATAATCCTTTTAAAGTATACAGTTCCTTGGTTTCTTAGTATTCATATATAGATATCTACAAACATCACCATGGTCAATGTTAGAACGTTTTTATTACCTCAGAAAAACCAAAATCAAAACTAGAAGTATATCGAGAGAGAGAGTGAGAGAGAGAAGAGAGCAAAAGGCAAAAGGACAGGGAAAGAGAGAAGGGAGGAGCCAGGGACAAGACTATACCCTTTCAGGTCATGCCCACAGTGATCTACCTCTTTCAAGCAGGCTAGGAGGAGTACATGCAGCTATGAACTCATCCACTGATGAGTATAGCACTCCTATGGTCAGTCACCTTCCAAAAGCCGCACCTCTGAATGCGTGAGACTTTTGAGTTCATTCTGCCCCTGGTCCCCAAGGGCTTATATGCATCTCATTATGCAAAATAAACTTAGTCCCTAAGAGTCACCAGTGTGTTAACAGTTCCAGTATTGCTGAAAAGTCCAAGTGTAAAGTGTCTTTTGAGATTCAAGGCAAATTCTTAGCTATGAGGCTTTGCATAAACCAGAAAAAAAGTTAAATTACATAAGATAAACACTCCCATTAAAAAGGGAAGAATAGAGGGCTATAATGAAACTAGATCAAAGCAAGAGTGAAAACCAGCCAGGAAAGCATTAAATCCTGTAATTCCATGTCTACCACTCAGGACAGTTCGTGGTGAGATGTCAGCTCCAGAGCGTTTGGGCAGCTGCCATTCCTGTAGTGTTGCAGCCCATGTGGCCTGTCTCCTAGTCTGTCTCTGCTTGCTCTTTTCCTGGTGAACGTTTCATATTCTTGGCATCTGTAATTTTTTGAAGTCTCCACTGCATCCTTCAGCTTCATTTCTACAGCTTTGCACATTGCCCTCTCAGGGTACATTGCCTGACCTCCAAGGCCTTCCTTTGAAATCTAAGTGGAAGTCTCTATGACCTTACAACTCTTATATTCTGTATGTCTGAAAAACCGTCACTACATGAATGCTTGCTGTAGCCCAGCCCTCTTCGCCCATGATTGGAGTGGTCTCTGAGTACATGAATGACCGAACTCGGGTAAACACTTGCCTAGGGAGTCCTAAATGAGCAGGACACTCTGGGATTCTGTTCTCAGTCTTTCAGAGGAATTTATTCTTTTTTACTCTTGTCTCTGGGATGCGTGGGGTCTGAACATTTCTAGAGGGATCCACAGGCATTATTTCTATTGTCCTGATGCAGAGTACTTGGCTTCTTTTCAATGCTGGTCTTTCAGCAGTCATGCTGTCATTGGCTCCAACTTTACATACACTTCCTTTTTGGCCAAGTTGCAAAATTTTTCACATCTTTTTACTCTGTTTTTGCTACTGATTCTTACTGGAGATCTGGCTAAAAGCAGCCAGCAGAACCCATGCCGTAATTTGAACATTGGACTGCCTTGAAATTTCCTGTACCAGATTAATTAGCCTACCACTTTTAAATTTAGTCTCACACAAAGTCTTAGGACATGGGAAAAACGTGGACAAATTATTTGTCAGTATGTAACACTCATGACCTCTACTACAATTTCTTTCTTTCTTTCTTTCTTTCTTTCTTTCTTTCTTTCTTTTTTGTCTTTTTCGTTTTTATCAGTACCAGGGATCGAACTCACGACTACCTGCTTGCAAGGCAGGCGCTTATGCTGCTGAGCTAAATCCCCAGCCCCTCTACTACAATTTCTAATAGAGGTCTTGTTTGAACCTGGTCTTTACTGCCTGCATTTCTATCAGTATTCTGATGTTTAGATCTTTGACCAGTATTGAGCACTACTTACAACTTTCTAGGGCTTTTCTAGCCTGCTTCTCCAAACTTTTCCAAACTTCTCCTGCAAACCAGTTTTAGAGGCTTCTGAACTACATCATCAAGTACAGTCACAGATATGACCCCACTCCTGACACCTATTTTCTGTAATAGTCACTCTTTCATATCACTGGGATGAAATACGTAACACCTACAGTTTAAGAAGAAAAGGTTTATTTTGGCTCATGGTGTTTTGTTTTGTTTTGAAATAGGGTCTTGCTCTGTAGTGCAGGCTGGCCTAGAACTCACTTTGTAGCCCAGGCTAGTCTCAGACTCGTGGTGATCCTCTTGGCTTAGCCTCCCGAGTGCCAGGCATTATAGGCATACCCCACCATACCCAGCTTGGCTCATGATTTGATTGACTGAGTGATTGATTGAGACAGGGTCTCACTACATAGTCCAGGCTGTCCTCAAACTCACTATGTAGCCCTGACTGGCCTCAAACTTTTAGCAATCCTCCTGCTTTAGCTTCCCGCATAGTGGGATTACAGGCATGTACAACCGAGCCTGGCTGTTGGCTTGTGATTTTCGTGGCTGGCTACAAGGCAGAAATGGCATGGACATGAAGAAGGAAAGCTGCTCAACCCATGGCAGCCAGGGAGAGGGAAGAGAGAAAGAGGAAAGAGAGGAGCCAGGGGCAGGAGTACACGCTTCCAGGTCATCCAGTGACCTGCCTTTTCTTTCTTTCTTTTTTTTTTCTAGACAAGATCTTACTGTGTAGTGCAGGCTGACCTTGAATTGACTATGTAGCCAAGCTGGCCTTGAACTAACAGTGATCCTGCCTCAGCCTCCTGAGTGCTGGGATTACAGGCATGCACTCTCATGCTCGGTCCATTCTGACTTTTCTGACTAGGCTATACTTCTTATCCACTGATGAAGCTAGCTGCCCGTGGTCGGTCACCTTCTAAAAGCTCCATGTCTGAAAACAAGACTTCTGGGGGACATTGCTGTCTAAACCCTAGTATGATTCTGTGATATGCTGCATTTTCCTTTTTTATTCACTTGTTGATGGATTTGTGATTTATTTCTACCTCTTGATTATTATGGATAATGCTGCTATAAATATTTCTGTACAAGTTTTTGTATAGACTTACATTTTCCTTTCTTTAGGGTATTCTGTACACTTACGAGTGGAATTGATAGGTGATATGGAAGCTGTATTTAATTGTCTGAGGAAATGCCAGATTGTTTCCTAAGTGACTGAACTATTTTGTATTCTCATCATGTATGAGGGTTTTCATTTCTTTATATCCTTGCCAACAATCATTCTTATTTGGTTACATTCATTCTAATAGGAGTGACGTGATATCTCAATGTGATTTTGATTTGCTTTTCTCCAATGACTGATGATGCGGAGGATCTTTTCATGTGCTAGTTGACCCTTCTTATGTCGTCTTTGGAGAAATCTTTATTCAGATCCTTGACCCATTGTTTAAATTGGGTTGTATTTTTATTGATTGTAATAGTATTTTGTGTATTATAGACAAAGTATCTTGTCTGATGTGACTAACATGTGGTTTGTTGTTTTTTACTTTCCCAATGGTATCCTTCAAAACACAAAATGTTAAATTTTACTGGAGGTCATTCTATGTGATTTCTTTTGTTTTAGCTCATGATTCTTTTTCCATATCTAAAAATCCATTTCCAAATATGGGACCATGAAGATTTGCTCCGATGTTTCCTTCCAAACGTATTGTAGTTTTAGCAGTAGTATCTAGGTTTTGAGCCATTTTGTATTACTCTGTACACATGGAGTGAAGTTGGAGTTCAAACTTGTGCTTGTGCATCAAAATGCGTGGAAATCCAGGTGTCCCATCACCTACTGAGGAGGCCATTCTTTCCACATGGGATGGTCTTGGTACTGTTTTTCAAGTGAGTTGACCAAAAACATATAGGTTTATTTGGATCCTTCATCTTTAACCTCTCTTCCCTTGTGTTTCTATTCTCAGGGGTCAGTATTTGGATTATGAAAAGGAGGAAGTGGAAGCACAACCAAGGCAATGGAAGAAATATGACTTCCACTATGACAATGTGCTCTGGGCCCTGCTGACACTGTTCACGGTGTCTACAGGAGAAGGGTGGCCTATGTGAGTGCTCCCAGCTTAGGGCAGCTGGTTGGCAGAGAGGAAGCTGAGGCAGGCACTTGTGAACTCAGCTCACCCCCTCTAACCCTAACACCCCCACCCTCATCACTGGTCTGCACCACACCCGAACTGTCCCTGTAGTACAGGTTCTCATCTCCTGGGAAGCTCTCTTGATGTCTGCTGTCCCCTTGGCCAGGGTGCTGAAACACTCCGTGGACGCCACCTATGAGGAACAGGGTCCCAGCCCCGGGTTTCGCATGGAACTCTCCATCTTCTATGTGGTCTACTTTGTGGTCTTCCCCTTTTTCTTCGTCAACATCTTCGTGGCATTGATTATCATCACCTTCCAGGAGCAGGGAGACAAGGTGATGTCCGAATGCAGCCTGGAGAAGAACGAGGTAGGTGGATGCTCTGTGCACTCAGTGATGGGCAGTGTGGGCAGACCCATCTTCTGTACGTGCCATACTCGTGGCCAGCACAGGCAGGGCCACCATCCTGCTGCAGAAGGTGGCTGCTTTTTGTCAGTGGGAGTCTGCTTGGAGGAGGCCTAGCCTGCCCCTGCTGCCTCTTCTCTTGTCTAGGCTCCCCATGGGGCACAGTGGGACAGCACTGGGTACAGGACAGTAGGGCCACAGGGCTGGGTGGCCCCTGAGTTTAAGGTGCTTTTTCTTCCTATGCAGAGGGCTTGCATTGACTTCGCCATCAGCGCCAAGCCCCTGACACGGTACATGCCTCAAAACAGACAGTCATTCCAGTATAAGACGTGGACATTTGTAGTCTCTCCACCCTTCGAGTACTTCATCATGGCCATGATAGCTCTTAACACTGTGGTGCTGATGATGAAGGTATGTGGGCCATGATGGTGGGTGACCAGCTAGCACCTGTGAAGGTCAGGATCCCTGAGCTCTCTTTACACAGTGTTTTTGCTGCCAGCACATACCAGAGCTGAAGTTGCTTCGCATTCAGCCTATACAGGGAGCCCATGGAATCCCAATGCCTTTGTGGGCTGTGGGCTGAGACAGTGAGAAGATTCTGGGAAAACTAAGGGGGAAAGCAAAGAGGGGTGTCCCAGGCATGGGCAGGTGTGGGGTCTGTCTGCCCCCAGGAGGCATAGTGCTTCCCAGTGTCTGGGGTTACTGCACTCAGCCACTGACACTCATTCCCTGGGCAGTTCTACGATGCACCCTACGAGTATGAGCTGATGCTGAAATGCCTGAACATTGTGTTTACATCCATGTTCTCCATGGAATGCGTGCTGAAGATCATCGCCTTTGGGGTGCTGGTACGTGCCTTGACTTCCTTTTTGCCTGTCGGTGGCCTACATTTTGTGCCCCCTGTTTTGGATAACTTTTGGGAGCTCAAAGTTTGGATCTGGGAATTCTTTGAATCCTGAGAGCATGTGTGACACTGTGGGAACCCCAGAAAAGGGGCTGGCTGAGTCTTGCCCCAACATGGTCCTCAGTGACAGGCAGTGCTGGGACATGTATCTCTCAATTCTGCATCTTCCAGGCCAGAGGTGTCAGCTGTTTGTCCTTGGTCTTGTACTGTATCATCCTTGCCCTGTCTTGATCAAGGGGTACCACCCATACCAGTTAACAGCACTAACTGCTCTTCTTTTTCTCTAGAACTATTTCAGAGATGCCTGGAATGTCTTTGACTTTGTCACTGTGTTGGGAAGTATTACTGATATTTTAGTAACAGAGATTGCGGTGAGTAGCATTTCTTGCCTCCCTTCTGGGGACCCACAGTGGTTTCCTTGTAGAGAGTTTTCCCTTCAGTGCACCTTTAGGACAGATGGAGATGCGTCCCCAGAGGTGGAGCTTGGGGATGGGTGTTGCGTGGCACATGCTCTTCCTTGGATGAGAAAGTGGTTCCCAGAGATCTTTCAGGCTGGTAGTCTGAGAATCCTCTAGAGTTCTGTGGTAACAGCTGACCAAGGAAACAGCAGCCTTTAAATTTGTATTTGTCTAATGTATATATATTTAATAACTTAATTTCAAAAATACATTAAAGCCAGTACAGTATGAGGTTTGAGAGACAGGTAGATTGGTCTCTCTATCTATCTACCTATCTATCTAACCTCCCTACTTACCTATATCTTTCATCTGTCTATTTATCTAGAGATATTCATGACAGAGTATATCTGAAAATTGATCGATGCTAGGACATAAACTCACTTCAATAGATGTCAAAGAGTCTGAATTAAAATACTTTTTTTTTAGTGCATGACATTAAGTTGGAAACAAACAGCAGAAAATCTCATTTGTTTGCCTTAGTTTGAATTCTTTGGGAGCAGGTGCTGAGATGTATGTGTAGGTTACTTCTTAAGAAAAAACACCACTGGGGCCATAGCTGAGGAAGAGGAGGATGACTAGTAGTGCCTCATTTTGAGCCACATTCAGGGCTGGGTTTGGGTCATCGTCCAGGGAACCTCTGAGATGGGGTAGGTCACCTGTCAGGGCTGGCCCTGCAGGGAAAGGAAGCTATGGATTTTCTGTTGTTGCACTGCCCTGGGGCCTATGGGCTGCACCAGTAATCAGTCCTTTGATGCCTCCAGTTGCCTTGAGTGCACTGCATGCACACGTAACAAATGGAGGGGCCCTGTGTGTCGTCATCTAGGACCATGGTGTAGAGTACAGGCTCTTGTCTGGCCCTGCTCTGCTCTTCCACACCTCATGCTGGGTATGTTATATATTCTTCAAAAGATACTAGCCAGGTGCTCTGGAAGACAGATGCGCTCCCTGCCCTGTGGGTCCATGTGGAGCTGATATCATCCTTTTGTCTCTCCACCATTCCATCTACAGCCCCTCACCTGTGGTGAGCCTTCTCCTGCTCTGGTTGGCCTGATTAGGTGTCCGAGATCTGCTTGCCATTCTCTTGTCTGATTCTGACTGCTATGATAGTCCAGTCATGGTTAGGACTAGCCACAGGAGTTTCTGGAAAGGCCCTAGGGAGCCTCTTGGCTGCTAGACAGACTTCTTCCTGTCCCATTGTATAGTAGCAGCTTTGTCCTTCAAAATAGTCAGGTTCAGATATTCTGGTAGTAAGGAAAATCTTTGCGTTGCCTAGTGGTCATTTGGCTTGAGGATTTCCATTCCCAAGTGGCCATAGCTTTGGGTAGTCCCTGGTTGTGGCTTTACCTGGCCCTTTGAATGGGACCTGTAATGGCTGTGGTGAAGATAATTTTCTGGGGAGCTGGTGAGAGAGGCCACCCCTGCCTTCCAGTTTCATGCATTATATTGATTCGGCACTGTACTATCCCAGTGCTACCTGGATGTGGTTCACCTTGCAGTACAGCTCTTTAGCCTCCTGAGGTACATTGCCAGCCTAGCATTTTGTCTGTGCTTTGGATTCTGCTTCAGTGTTATATCTGAATGTCATGATGTTTTAGACACCAGTGGATCATCCTGTAACCCCTGACACCTTTGCTTGCCAGGAGTTGATATTATGTGGGATTCTATGTTGGTCAGTCTGAGGCTAACTTGCAGAGCTTTGAGGAGGCCAATGTGCCTAGGACACCCAGTTGAAGAAAATCACTGCCTTTTCCATGTAAAGGGTACTGTGATCAGTGTACCACTGGATGGCTGGTCATAGCTTCCTGGCACCGAGTAGAGGCATGCTGTGAGCAAGCATTCAGCATTGCCCAGGGCTAGGTCAGATTTGCTATGGAAGTCTTGGCCATCCCAGCCATTCCATTCATGGTTCTACTGTGTGCCTGTTGGGAATGGTGAAGATAGAGGCTGTCTGACATCTGTTGTTCAGTCATCCAATTCATTTTTTTCTTCTCTGTTCTTAGGAATTGAACCCAGGGCCTTCAGCACACTAGGCAAGCATTCTAGCTCTGGACTATATCCATAGCCCTCTGTATTTTTAAAAATTTGAGACAGAGTCTAGCTGTATAACCCAGGCTGACCTTGAACTTAATGATCCTCCTGCCTAAACATCCTAAGTAGCTGGGATTACAGTGCATACCACCATGTTGATCAACCAGCTCTTGGTTTTTAGTGACTCCGTAGCCATAGTCGCATTCTTGTAGGCATCTGTGTATAATGCAAAGGCTTGTATTCCATGCTCATTTCAAGGACTGTCTGTAATTTTCTTCCCCAAACACCATTCTTGCCTGTCCCTGGGACCAAACTTATCTAAGATCCTGGAACCTTTTGTAAGGCAGTTGTTTTGTTTAACGTACATAGTGGCTGACCAGAACACTGCCTCACCATTGTCTTTTAGGCTATCCCTGTGTGGAGCTTTGGTGAGGCCTGCACCAATTTATGAAGGCAATTCATCCCTGAGTCTCCCCCTCCTAATTCTAGTGAGCCCTTCATGGGACCATTGTCCCAGGGTGAGCCGGAGAACATTTGTATAATGGATGTAGAGGGGGGGATTGCCAAGGAATCTTCAGCTGTCAGTTGGTGGCCACCATTGACTTGAGTGGCGCCATGTCCTTCTCCCCACAGTGTCCCTGTGCTGTCACTCTAGGAACTAGTCAGCTGATGGTATATAGTAAGTCCTTCTATTAGGTTCATCTTTGTCTTCTGTAATCCCTTTCAGATATACCCAAAATGAGAGTATCAGCATTTTTGTTGCTAAGCATACCAGGTATCCTTGTCCTATTGATTGCCACTCAGAGGAGAATCTAGCCTCTGAGTCATCCCCAGGGGCCCCATCCTTAAAGTCTGCTTCTAAGGGGTCAAGTGTCTTGGGGTCAGAACCTGTGACCCACATGTAACCTAATAGGAAATGTTACCAATAATATCTGGAACCTTGGATGAGGAAAGGAGTCAGTGTCATGCAGCTATATGGCATACTTTTGGTCTAGGAAGGTATGAGACAGGCTTGTGACTATGTAAAGGTATGAGGAAAAAACAATAGGATGTTTTGAACAGATTCAGCCAATACATTTGAAAACTTAAAGAAGTAGATAAATTACTAGAAAAGTATAAAGTCAAATATGGCAGGAGAGATGAAAACCTTGGATGTTTATTTACAGTATTAAAGGAATTGAATCCAATAATCTTCCTACAAAGAAAACACCTTAGTGTTATGGTCTTTCATACTATGTCTGTACCTAAACTACAAAGATGGACCATTCCAATATTAAACAGTTTTTTTTGGGAGAACAGAAAAAATAATGAACATTAATTTACTGATACTGATACTTTGTTGTATATTTACTTAATTTTATTTTGAGACATAGACTTGCTGTGTTGGCCAAGGCTGGGATAAAACTCCTGAGCTCAAGTGATCCTCTTGCCTTAGTACCCCAAGTGGCTAGGACTGCCGGCAAGTACCACTGTGCCTCGCTGCCTGCTAATCTTAACAGCAAAATTTTGAAAAAAGGATATGAGTGAGGAAGATCATAATCCACACATGCTAGCTAATAATGGAAAATCCTAAACAATATATAAGCAAACCAAATACAATAGGATACAGAAAAGAAAATGTAAGTCAGGCTTCTTCCAGAGATGCAAAGCCCAACTCAAGAAATCAGTCCCTATAATTTACCATTGGTAGCTCACAGGACACCATTAGTGTGATTGTCTCATGGATGCAGAAGACATAGAATAAAATTGAAAATTTTAATGGTAAAAATTATTAGCAATTAAGAGTTATTTATTAGATAAGGAGTATCAAGAGATCCTGTACATATATTATATAATAACAAAATTTAGAATGAAATCCTTTTAAAATCAGAAAAGGCAATGATGCCTCTTACCACTTCTTTTCAGTGTTGAACTTCTGATCCCAGCCAGTTCAGTAGGTTGAATTCGGGTCCTCGAATCAGGTGTTTTTGCCTATTTTGTTCAATGCCTAATGCTTGGAAGCATTAAGTAAATACTTAATGAATAGGACTAAATAAGTAAATAAATGAAATAGGTAACTAGTAGAAAGAGAATAAGCAAAACTGTCATCATAAGCAGATGCTATTATTATCTATGGGTGATGATAGTTCTAGAATAGTTCTAAAACTATTTTGAGTGTTTAGCAAGGTTGCCGAATATAAGATTATATATAATATAAGTAATTCAAATGTATTTCTTTAAAATATCACTAATTCTGATAATAAAAACCACAAAATATATGTGCAAGATCTTTGTGTAGAAAATTTTTTAACTTTATTGAAACATTAAAATAGATGGTATCATGTATTAATTATGGTCAGTTTCATAGGATTATTGATTTCCTATAAATTTACTGATTTATGATTCAGTGCAGATTCAGTGAAAATACTAGTGTTTTTATTTTCTTTGGGATTTCACAAGCTGCTGTGTATGAAAAACAGCAATGGCCCCCAAGCAGTCAAGACACTTAAGATAAACAGGTGAGGCTGAGGTGAACTGGGAGGGATCTGCTTCAGCCAGTGATGAGACTTATTATAAAGCTAGAATGTAAAGACCTTGTGGCACTGGCTCTGAGATAAGCAACAGAAAGAATCAGGAGCCTAGAATCAAAGGTGAGAAACTGCAGAATTCAGATATAAGTGCCAGGTAGAGCAGTGAGGGGAGCAGATGTGACTGTGAAAGACTAGGCAAGAATAATAGCAAACCTTATAGCCTGAGTGTTTGGAAAAAACCAGATTGCTATGAATTACTTTTTTTTGTTGGTACCAGGGATCGAACTCACGACTTTGCACTTGCCAGGCAGGCGCTTATGCTGCCGAGCTAAATTACCGGCCCCTAATTGCTGTGAATTAATTGGGAGGAAAAAT